TACCTGTAATCCCAGCTACTCGGGAGGCTGAGGCAGGAGAATTGCTTGAACCTGAGAGGCAGAGGTTACAGCAAGCTAAGATCGTGCCACTGCACTCCAGCCTGGGCGACAGAGCGAGGCTCTGTCTCACTATTGTAGAAATGTACAGATTAGAAAGTGAGATTTACAAGGCAATCAAGAGAGACAACAAGGGGGCTTGGTGCGGTGGCTCATGCCTGTAATCCCAGCACTTTGGGATGCTGAAGCGGACAGATCACGAGGTCAGGAGATTCAGACCATCCTGGCTAACACAGTGAAACCCCATCTCTACTAAAAATACAAAAAATTAGCCAGGCGTGGTGGCGTGCGCCTGTAGTCCCAGCTACTCGGGAGGCTGAGGCAGGAGAATGGCATGAACTCAGGAGGTGGAGCTTGCAGTGGGCGACAGAGTGAGACGCCGTATCAAAAAAAAAATATATATATATATATATATTTTATATATATATATAATATATATAATATATAATATATATATATAATATATATAAAGAGAGATGATACGGTCAGTTTGCATTGGTACACAAATTACTTCAAAGAAAACTGGACACTTCTGAAGGATCAAGTGACCCTTTTTGGGTACTAGGCCATTAGAAAACCTTTCTTTTCAGAAATGCAATCTATGTTCCTTGGAATCTCTAGTTTAAGACGTAACTCAAGAATGACTCCATGGGGTCTTCTCAATGGGGTTAGTAACCTCCAGGGGTAATTTAAGAAAAGGTGTTGCTAATCTTTGTGATGCTTACATGAGTCAGGGTATAGACACATTCCTGGTTTCTCTTAATAACCTACCAGGTGTGTATGAACCATAAGTTTATATTTATGCTTTTTGGAAAAATAAATATATAGTCTGTATCTTTTAAGGTTAAGAAGGTTTTAGAATTTACAGCCTAATAAAAAAGACAAAAAGGCCATAAACGGTGGCTCACACCTGCAATCCCAGCACTTTGGAAGGCCAAGGCGGGTGGATCAGCTGAGGTCAGGAGTTTGAGACCAGTCTTACCAACATGGAGAAACCCCGTCTCTACTAAAAATACAAAAAATTGCTGGCCGTGGTGGTGCGTGCCTGTAGTCACAGCTACTCAGGAGGCTGAGACAGGAGAACTGCTTGAACCCGGGAGGTGGAGGTTGCAGTGAGCCAAAATTGTGCCACTGCACTCCAGCCTGGGCGATGGAGCAAAAAAACAAAAAACAAAAACAAAAAGAAAAGAAAAGAAAAGAAAAAGAATCACAGTAATAAAAAGAAAATAAATAGGTTAAGAAGTACTATAAGGTTTCCACCTACTTTGCAAAGTATTACTGAATTTTATTGAATCCAAATGCTGTCTTTTTCAACCTTCAAAGGGTAATCCTGCTTCCCCTTTGGGGTCCAGGGAAGCAACTCATATTCTCTAATCGCTTCTGTAAGGTTTCCTCAAATCTCTCTTGTTCTTCTCTAAGCTTCAGTACATTCTAGATAACATCCCCTTAAACCCGTCACCATTGACGGAATACATTTACCCTTACCAATGGGTATTTCTTCCACATTTTCTATTTTAGTCAGTTCTACCTTTAGAGTTATTTTCACACACACACACACACACACACACACACACACACACACACACACCATCCCACTTAATTTTATTCATCCTTCAAAGTTCATCTTAGGTCCTTTCTTCCCCTTCTTTCCCCCTTGGTCCAATGCATTCTGAACGTTTATACCATTTACATTAATTTTTTTTTTTTTTTTTTTTTGAGATGGAGTGTCACGCTTGTTGCCCAGGCTGGAGTGCAGTGGCCTGATCTAGGCTCACTGCAACCTCCTCCTCCAGGGTTCAAACCATTCTTCTACCTCAGCCTCCTGAGTAACTGGGATTACAAGTGTATGCCACCACGCCTGGCTAATTTTCTATTTTTAGTAGAGACGGGGTTTCTCCATGTTGGCCAGGCTGGTCTCGAACTCCCGACCTCAGGTGATCCGCCCGCCCTGGCCTCCCAAAGTGCTGGGATTACAGGCATGAGCCACCGCACCCAGCCTACATTGATTCTTTAATGTTTACTTCTCTACCTTCTTTTATTGTTCATAACCATTTTACAGGTTTCTCTCTCGCTCTTGTCTCAACAATAAGAGCCCAGAGGTCAGAAATCCTGATTTACAACTCATTTTGTGTCCCTTTTAACCTGTAGAGGTGAGCTGCACGATGTGCCATGTATTAGTCTTTGACGTTTCCCTGTCAATCTTTGTCAAGACATTGAGTTCAAGTTGATCCTCTTGTCAAGTTCATTTCCTACTCGGATCACTTGTATTGCTGTCTGTGCACACGAGGACATTTGAGATAACTATGGAAGCTGGTTATTTCAGTATGAAGTTGCAGAAAAGGAGTTCAATGGATGATCATGTTGGTGGGTGAAAATGATGCGGTATATAGAACATTGACAGATTTCACGGAGGCATAGACTAAGAATTTCATTTTAACTTTGTGTGATAGAAGGGAAAATAAATATTTGTGTTGAACTGGAGCCATTTCTGGCTGAAGCAGCTGGTTATTACTCATTGCTAATTGATCCACTAGCTCTCTGGACTTTGTAGACTGTATGACTCTCACAGGCTCATCCTCCCACCGACAGCATTACTGACCTTCAGGGTGCCAATACAGCCTGGGTTCTCTGCCTTAGTCAGACTCACCACACACACCAGGCTATCATCACCACTTTTCTGAGTCACGGGACCTTTTTTTTTGATGCAATTTCTATCATTACAGGCTCAGTGGTAAGCCAACAACAAGGTGATGGGTACCTAAAATAAGTGAATACAATCTTAGCCTCATTATAATGTTGGGTGTCGAGCTGATGGATGAGGTAATGGATATAGCCAGGAGACTGGACACTGTTGGTAGGAAGCAGTAAGGAACTGGAAGCTGTTTCACACAGAAAAGATGGCTGGAGATGGAGATGGACCTTGTATTTTCTTTTTTTGTGTGTGTGAGACGGAGTCTCGCTCTGTCGCCCAGGCTGGAGTGAGTGGCGCCATCTTGGCTCACTGCAAGCTCCGCCCCCCGGGTTCCCGCCATTCTCCTGCCTCAGCCTCCCGAGTAGCTGGGGCTACAGGCGCCCGCCACCACGCCTGCCTACTTTCTTTGTATTTTTTAGTAGAGACGGGGTTTCACCGTGTTAGCCAGGATGGTGTCGATCTGCTGACCTCGTGATCCGCCCGCCTCGGCCTCCTAAAGTGCTGGGATTACAGGCGTGAGCCACCGCGCCCGGCCGGACCTTGTATTTTCATCCACACATGTGGAAGTGAGACTTAGTTTATATGAAAGCTAGAACTCGTAAGCGTAGGTTACAGAAAGGCTCAATGTGTTTAAAAATTGAAGGAGCTGTTCCTTATTACTGAAGGAACGCAGCGAGTGAGCTCCAGCTCTTCTAAGATTTAAAGATTTGAGTTCAGATAATTAATTGAGATATAATGGAAGAGATTCCTACATTGCATGTAACTAAAACTTAAACGCTCCCTAATGACACACGCAAATTAATCTGACTCCAAGGTTCTTTAAACCTGTGATGATTTCCAATTCATTTATGTCTTTCATGAGATATAGCAGCTGTAAACAAATAGAATTCCAGCTTCAGATGAATCAAGGTTTTATACAGCGGCAGGATTTGCGGGTCTGTGTATGGGAAGGGGAAAGTCTTGCACCCAATCAGTCTTGATGTCTTCATTCTAGGAATTCTTTCTGAAAAGATGGTAGCCATGCAGAAGACAATACAATACTAATTTTGTTCCTTCCTTCACATCCAGTGCACAACTCAATACATACACCAGGGTTTTAGGCATTCTGCAACCTTTAAAAGTTTGAAAAACATGCGTTGCTTTACACATGTCCAGGCATGTCTATGTACAATGACTGGGAGTAGAAAATAATTTGACTTTTAGGGAATGGTATTATTCTTGGGAGAAAAAGTACCATTTGTTGAGTTAATTTCACACACACTACCACAATCAAACTCTTAAATGATTCTATGAGATAAGCATTGTTATTCTAATTTTACAGTTGATACAGCTGGAAGAACAAGCAACTCACTTGTGTTTACACAACCATTAAGTTGTTGAGCCAGGATTTGAATCTAGGCCAAAGTGATGCTATATCCCTTTCTCGCAGGATCTTATAGCCCCTAATCATAAATCCTTCATATTTTGAAAGATAAAAGGCCATGTTTAGAGATGCCCATGACTTCAGAGAGAAAAAAAAACCAGCTTGACTTTACAAGGGTGGAGTAGTCTTTGCTGAATGGATGAGAACTCTAGTCTTGTCAATGCACAGGCTAAATATCAGCTCTGCCCTCTAAGTAGCTGAATGCCTTTCAATAAATACCTTCACTTCTCTAGGTCTCTGTGTTCTTATTGGGAAAACGGAAGTGCTAACAGCACCTTCCTTACAGGACTGTTTTTATTTTTTATTTTTTTATATTTTGAGACAGAGTCTCGCTCCATTGCCCAGGCTGGAGTGCAGTGGTGCAATTTTGGCTCACTGCAACCACCGCCTCCCAGGTTGAAGTGATTCTCCTGACTCAGCCTACGAAGTAGCCGGGACTATAGGCGTGTGCCACCATGCCCAGCTAATTTTTATGTCTTTAGGAGAGACAGGGTTTCTCCATGTTGGCCAGGCTGGTCTCAAACTCCTGACCTCAGGTGATCTGCCCACCTCGGCCTCCCAAAGTGCTAGGATTATAGGTGTGAACCACTGCGCCAGGCCAGGACTGTTTTTAATAGTAAATAAAATAATATGTGGAAAGCACCTAGCACCATATGAACACAGGAAGTAAGTTTTAGCTATTATGAAGAGTATATATTCTTTTTTATCTCTCTACACCGAAGGTTGCTGGTGGGCTCAAAAGATATTCCTGAAGAGTCAAGTTATGGGGAAGCATCCTAGGAAAGGAGAGGCAGGACAAGCAGACTATTCCTGGGAAGCTAGACTTACTGATAACAGTAGAACTCTCCATGGCTCCAACTGATGTCTTCGCCTGGGGTTATTCTCTATAGGTGACTCTGATAATCTCTCCATCTCTCCCGCAGCATTTAGCACAGGGCTCGAATGCTCGCTGTCTGATTAACACAGGTGTGCACAATGAGTGGTCTCAGGTGAGGGAAGAGAAAAAGCACAGAGCTTGCAAAAGGCAGAGATCTGCAGCTTATTCCCAATGCAAGACGGAGCTGATAAGCAAGCTGGCAGGAATGATGCGGTGCATTTTTCAGAGGATCTTGAGGTAAGGTACAGACAGCAATTTCAGGGCAAGTCAGCAGTATGTCTGGGCGGCACAAATGGCTTTCCAACATTCCCCTGTGGGGAGAATGCAGAGCATGCATTAATGACCGTATTTTGCAGAGAAGAAAACAGATTTAAGGCCCTAGGAAATCAGGGCATATGGCACTAGGAAAGGAGATGTTTAAATGATACAGTATACTTTGGAGATAGCTCAGTAGTTCAAGTCACTGGTGGATGCAATTTGAGATGCCTACTTCAATCTATTAAGACCTACATTCTCTTCTCTCTCTCTCTCTCTCTCTTTTTTTTTTTCTGATAGAGTCGGCTCTGTCACCCAGGCTGGAGTGCGGTGGCATGATCTCTGCTCACTGCAACCTCCGCCTCCCTGGCTCAAGCAATTCTCCTGCTTCAGCCTCCCGAGTAGCTGGGATTACAGGCGTGCACCACCACACCTGGTTAATTTTTGGATTTTTAGTAGAGACGGGGTCCTCACCATGTTAGCTAGGCTGTTCTCAAACTCCTGACCTCAGGTGATCTGCCTGCCTTGGCCTTCCAAAGTGCTGGAATTACAGGTGTGAGCCACCGTTCCTGGCCCTCTTTTTCTTTTAACTCTCTCTTCTCACCCATCAAGGCTTTTATTTCACTACTCCTCCCCTTCTGATGACAGTTAGGATTCAGTCAGGTAGCTGTTTCTGCTACCTGTCACTGGCTTTGAGTCCACATGAAACACGAGCTGGCACTTTTAGTGGCACAGCACTGCTCCGAAACTCCTGTGCTGACTTATTCTGGCACCCTCCCCCTATTTTTGGTTGGCTCTTCAAGGCAAATAAAAGACTCCTTTAAAATATATACATATATATATATATTTTTCTTTTTCTTTTTTCTTATATGCCACCAAAAGGCACAGTCCAGAAACAGAAAGAAGGAAACACAACTAACTCCACTTAATACACCCATGAAGAAAGTGCACCAACTGGAACAGAACACGGCTTCTCTTCTCGGGTGATCACCTCTCCATCACCTTCATGCACCAAGAAGCTTTAAATTGTTGTATATGTTTTCAACCTTCAAATAGGGCAAGTGAGGCCAGGCGTGGTGGCTCACGTCTGTAATCTCAACACTTTGGGAGGCTAAGGCGGGTGAATCACTTGAGCTCAGGGGTTCAAGACAAGCCTGGCTAACATGGCAAAACCATGTCTCTACTAAAAATACAAAAATTAGCCAGGTGTACTGGCGCATGCCTGTAATCCCAGCTACTAGGGATGCTGAGGCCGGAGAATCGCTTGAACCCGGGAGGCAGAGGTTACAGTGAGCGGAGATCACACCATTGCACTCCAGCCTGGGTGACAGAGAAAAAAAAAAAAAAAAAAAAAAAAAGATAGAGTAAGTGTTTGATGAAGAAACAGCAGCACAAGCAAATCTTAGCAGAAGGGTCTAGAATTGCACAGAGAATAGGATTGTGCTCTGTTACTTCCAGTTGCTCAGTGCCCTTCCTTGTTGAATGGAGCTGCAGGAGAGCATGAGGGGTTGGTAATTCATAATTGCCATCTTTTCCCTGCTGAAACCATTTGCTAGAAATCATTGTCTCTCTTTGCAGACATTTGCATCATCCTACATCATGTTTTCAGAGGTCACCTTTATTGAGGTATAATTCATATTCAGTAAATTTACCCTTTTAGATGTTACTGTTTTATAAATTTTGACAAACAAGCAGTCATGTAACCACCACCACAATCAAAATACAGAATATTCTCATAACCCCTAAAAAATCCCTCACACCCCTTATAGGCAACCCCATCCTGCCATCACAAGTCCCTAGCAATTGCTGGCCTGATTTCTGTTCCTACAGTTTTGCTTTTTCCAAAAAGTTATATAAGTAGAGTCATGCAGTGCGTAGTATTTTAAGTCTGGCTTCTTTTGCCTAGCATAATGCTTTTGAAATTTATCCAGTTGTTACAAGTAGTCATGCTTTGTTTCTTTTTATTGTTTTAATTTTAATTTTAATTTTTTTGAGACAGAGTTTTGCTCTTGTCGCCCAGGCTGGAGTGCAATGGTGCGATCTCGGCTCACTGCAACCTCCGCCTCCCAAGTTCAAGTGATTCTCCTGCCTCAGCCTCCTCATTAGCTGGGATTACAGGCACGTGCCACCACACCTGGCTAATTTTTGTATTTTTAGTAAAGACAGGGTTCACCGAGTTGGCCACGCTGGTCTTGAACTCCTGACCTTGAGTGATCCACCTGCCTTGGCCTCCCAAAGTGCTGGGATTACAGGCATGAGCCACCGCACCTGGCTCCTTTTTATTGTTACATGGTATTTTCTTCACGTGGATGAACCAAATTTGTTTATCCATTTGCCAACTGGTGGACAGTTGAGTTGTTCATGGGGTTTGGCAATTTAAAACAAAAATTTACTTTGAAAGTTTTTTTTTGTTAAATTAAATCAACCTTGTTTTATCAAGCAACATATCAAAACTTACTCATGTAAGAGTTAGCAATTGTGCTTTTAGTTTGATTTGAAATTAAAGAATTTTATTCTGCCCTTTCAGCTAATGCATTCATTCTAAAATATAATCATTACGAGGGCAGCCTTGTCCTAGATGTTCTAAAAGGTATCCCTCTTTCTGCACTTGTCATTCCAGGCCTGTGACTTTCCATGTGGAGAAGAGAACCCTGGTTCTTGTCCACATCTGAACCAGCAAAGCTGCTCTTAGCTGAAGGGCTCAGAAGAAAGCAGGACGATTGCCTGAGATCCAGTAGTCCCTTTTGCAATAAAGCTATGATGTAAGTAATCATATGTAAAAGGTTTTTAAACTTTACCTATAGGAAATTGGGAGCCAAACTTTAATACCTCAAACTTGACTTCATTTTAAAAATTGCCTACCTGAGAAGGGAGAAATCTCTATAAAGACATCAAAGTTCTAAGATCCATAAGTGCTGATTTATTATATAGTTAACATGCATCTAAAAATAAAGCTTGTCTTTTAGATACACTTGCCTCAGGCATAATAGTGTTGCAACATGCTACCGTATCACTGCTGCAAAACTATTGCTGTTGAAACTTATCTTTCTTTCTCTAACCTCTTTCTCTGCCCAGCAAAAAGGGAGGTGGAGGGAAAAAAAGAAGAAAATGGGAGCGGGGAGAGTGGAGAAGAAGGAAGCAGAAAGCCTGGGTGATGATACAGCACCTTTTATCTCAGAATCTCAAAAGCTGTTTTCTGGATCAGACTCATTGAACATTACTGGGTGGATAGGACATGGAAAACTAAGTAGGAACTGGAATGAGTTATGGTGGAAAGCCACAGGGTGATGGTTAATTTTATATGTCAGTTTGGCTGGACTGTGGGGCACGCAGGTATTTGGTCAAACGTCATCCTGGATGTTTCTTCTGTGAAGGTGTTTTTTGGATAAGATCAACATTTTTTTTTTTCTTTTGAGACAGTCTCCTTCTGTTGCCCAGGCTGAAGTGAGTGGTGTGACCTCTGCTCACTGCAACCTCCACCTCCCGGGTTCAAGCAATTCTCCTACCTCAGCCTCCTAAGTAGCTGGGATTACAGGCGCTCGCCACCACGCCTGGCTGATTTTTGTATTTTTAGTAGAGATGGGGTTTCACCATATTGGCCAAGCTGGTCTCAAACTCCTGACCTCAAGGGCTCCACCCACCTTGGCCTCGCAAAGTGTCAGGATTACAGGCGTGAGCCACCGTGCCTGGCCTAGATCAACATTTAAATTGGCGGACTTTGAGTAGAGCAGATTACCCTCTGTAATGTGGGTAGGGCTCATCCAGTCAGTGAAAAGCCAGAATGGAATAAGAGACTGACCTCTCCCAAGGCAAGATGGGAGTTCTGCCTTTGAACTTCAGCAGCAATTCTTCCCTCTGTCTCCAGCCTGCTAGCCTTCTCTGAAGATTTTGAGTTTACTAAGCCTCCATGATTGCATGAGTCAATTCGTCTCTCTTTTTCTCTCAGTATACACACACACACCCTTCCTAAGAAATCGCAGAACTTCTATATTTGAGAAAGTATTAAAGATAATTTATTCCAACCCTTAGCCATAAATTTCTTCTCTAGCATCTGCCTAAGCAAGCACTGAACTGCAGCTGAATATTTTCTGCCCAGTAAACCACTAGCTAAAGAGGCAGCTACTTTTATTTCTGGACAACTTTAATTGCTTCAAGTTCTTTTGCTTTGATTATTTGTTTGTTTGTTTGTTTGTTTTATCTGGCAAGCCCAATCTATTTCCCAATGTCTTCTATCCTTTGGCCCAAAATTGTGTCTGGGAGTCACATAGGCTGTTTGTACACAGGTGTACATTCCCCTTGTCCAGTTAATCTTAATTAACTAATTATGTTAATTTTTTTGAGATGGAGTTTCACTCTGTCACCCAGGCTGCTAGAATGTGGTGGCGTGATCTCAGTTTACTGCAATTTCTGCCTCCTGCATTCAAGCTATTCTCCTGCCTCAGCCTCATGAGTATTTGGGATTCCAGGCATGCACCACCACACCCAGCTGATTTTTGTATTTTTGGTAAAGAAGGGGTTTTGTCATTTTGCCCAGGCTTGTCTTGAACTCCTGACCTCAAGTGATCCACGCGCCTCAGCCTCCCAAAGTGCTGGGATTACAGGAGTGAGTCACAGCACCTGGCCAGTTAATCTGAATTTGAATAATCTATGTAGCAGAATAATTCTGGAATATTAACTAGTTTCGTTCACATGTTTAGGATGTCATAAAGCACCTAGGACAGTCATGCCTACTGCTCCACGGAAGGGAAGATGGCGGAACATAGAGAACGGAGTCGATTCTGGGTGCCTGGAGGGAGGAGGGACAGAGCAGAAACAGCACTGCATCAGAGGGAATTGCCCAGATGGCAATGGAGCACGGCACACATGGACTGTGCACCTGGTGACCAAGGCTAGGCAAGATGATGGGTCTCTCAGGGATGTGGCTTGGAAATGTGATATCCAAGGACTAGATGAACCCCAGCTCCCACAATGCTGTAGACAAAATGACGGAGCAAGAAAGAAAGAAGAAAACTGGAATTGACTGAGTTTAAATCTCTTCCACTGAATAGGGGGATGAGAGAAAATTTTAGTTGAGTTTATAGAAAAATCTAGCCAGTTACATGTCTTACATTTCTAGTGACATTTCTTCACTACTGAGAGTATAGAATGAGTTCCACAGTGGCTTTTATCCATCACTGAAAAGAAGCTAGAGAAAAACGACTCTTTGCTTTGAGAATAATCCTGTCCCTGGAAGGGTCTGGATATAGAATGAGAAACCACGGTCTTGGGAAACACGCTGGGAATCACAGACAGGTACTTTTATTTTAAATTGGTTCCTCGTCTCCATTCTATCCTGTTACAAGTATTCCTTCAAAAGACGTTTATTAAGTGCTTGCTGTATTGGGGTTGCTCTTCTCAAGGAGTATCTTTGTGGTGTTCTCTGTATTTCCTGAATTTGAATGTTGGCCTGTCTTGCTAGGTTGGGGAAGTTCTCCTGGATAATATCCTGAAGAGTGTTTTCCAACTTGGTTCCATTCTCTGTGTCACTTTCAGGTATACCAATCAAACGTAGGTTTGGTCTTTTCATATAGTTCCATATTTCTTGGAGACTTTGTTCATTCCTTTTCGTTCTTTTTTCTCTAATCTTGTATTCATGCTTTATTCCATTAAGTTGATCTTCAATCTTTGATATCCTTTCTTCTGCTTGATCGATTTGGCTATTGATACTTGTGTATTCCTCACCAGCTCTTGTGCTGTGTTTTTCAGCTCCATCAGGTCATTTATGTTCTTCTCTAAACTGGTTATTCTAGTTAGCAATTCCTCTAACCTTTTGCCAAGGTTCTTAGCTTCCTTGCATTAGGTTAGAGTATGCTCCTTTAGTTCGAAGTAGTTTGTTATTACCCACCTTCTGAAGCCTACTTCTGTCAGTTCGTTAAATTTGTTCTCTGTCCAGTTTTTCTCCTTTGCTGGCAAGGAGTTGTGATCCTTTGGAGGAGAAGAGGCATTCTGGTTTGGAACGCAAACATTCTTGTTTGATTGGAAAATCAAAGACAAAGGAGCCTTGTTCCCTGGAAGAGAACATGAAATTGTGAGCAAATGCAATTAAATGACAACATTACATTAATTATAAAAATGTAAAAAGGTCTCATGTCTTTTTGCTATGCAGGCCTGCTTAAAGGCATTTATGATAATTTTTTTTTTTTTTGAGATGAAGTCTCACTCTGTTACCCAGGCTGGAGTGCAATGGCACGATCTTGGCTCACTGCTACCTCCACCTCCCAGAAGAAAAGTGATTCTTCTGCCTCAGCCTTCCAAGTAACTGGGATTACAGCTAGCTAATTTTCGTATTTTTAGTGGAGAAGGGGTTTCACCATGTTGGCCAGGCTGGTCTCAAACTCCTGACCTCAAATCATCCACCCACCTTGGCCTCCCAAAGTACTGGAATTACAAGCGTGAGCCAACACACCTGGCCGGGTTACCTTAATTTTTATCCTTAAAGGTAATCATTAGGTGAGACCCCGAAGGAGCTAGTCATGGTATGGAACTTACAGGGAGCCAAAATTTGTAATGGTTGGGAATCACCCTGTAGAATTTAAAATCACTGAGTTCACAGGCAGGCTTGGCTTTCTTGGTGATGAATGTGGCATTTTTTGAGGACATTGTAAATGCATGTCACAGATAACATTTATCTATCTGTCTATTTATTTGTTTATTTATTTATTTTTTAGATGGAGTCTTACTCTGTCACCTAGGCTGGAGTACAGTGGTGTGATCTTGGCTCAGTGCAACCTCTGCCTCCTGGGTTCAAGCAATTCTCATGCCTCAGCCTCTCGAGCAGCTGGAATTACAGGCCCGTGCCACGACACCCAGCTAATTTTTGTGTTTTTAGTAGAGACGGGGTTTTACCATATTGCCCAGGTTGGTCTCAAACTCCTGGCCTCAAGTGATCTGCTCGCCTCAGACTCCCAAAGTACTGGGATTACAGGCATAAGCCACCATGTCTGGCTATTTAATTATTTTTATAGGGCTTTATTCTGTTACTCAGGCTAGAGTGCAGTGGTGCAATCATAGCTCACCACAGCCTCGAACTCCTGGGCTCAAGCAGTCCTCCCACCTGAGCCTACTAAGTAGCTGGGACCACAGTCGCGTGCAACCAAGCCTGGCTATGTATTTTTTACTTTTCGTAGATACGGTGTCTTGCCCCGGCTGATTTGGAACTCCTGGCCTCTCGCAATTCTCTCTCCTTAGCCTCCCACAATGCTGGGATTACAAGTGTCAGCGACCATGCCTGCCCACAGATGACATTATTAAGCAGTTATCCTGCTCTGTGCTTGACAGCTATTGTATTTAATCCCCACAACAACCCAATGACATAACTACAAGTGTTAATCTATATTATTGATAAGGAAGTCAAGGCATAGAAAGTTAAATGACATTGCCCAGTGTCACAAAACTAGTTAGGGACAGAGCAAGCATTCAAATCCTGATACTACCCAGATCAAAATTCTTTACCCACTATATGTTATTGCAGCCTGAAATGCAGAGAGGGTATTAAAAAAACACCAAAGAGCAAGAAACCCTTTCTTATACTCCTACAATTTTATTGAAACACAGCCATACAAATTTGTTTGCATATTACCTATGGCTGCTTTCACACGACAATGGCACAGTTAAGTCATGGTGACAGAGACAGTGTGGTGTGCAAAGATGAAAATATTTGCCATTTGGCCCTTTCTAGAATAAGTTTGCTGACTTCTGACCTATCATAGGGAAAATGGTGACAGTAATAACTCACAAGTAATTTGACTAGGTAATGTTATTTTTAATCAGGAGTCACATTCTTACATAGCTATCTTTATGTTGGTTTCCCTAATATTAGATTTAAAAGATTTTAATTTTTATTCTTTTTATTTTTTTAACAGAGGCAGAGTCTCACTACATTGTACAGGCTGGTCTTGAACTCCTGGGCTCAAGCACTCCTCCCACCTCAGACTCCCAAAGTGCTGGGATTACAGGCATGATCCACCACGCTCAGCCCCAGTTAGAGACACCAGGCAGTCTTGCTAGACCTCTGTGACCCAGTTTATTATATTTGAACAAAAATTAGTCATCCTTACGTCTTCTTGAGTAGGGTCCTTCTGAATCTATTAACAGTGCCAATACCATGAGTAACAGCCTTCTCATGGATCTCTTTTTTGATAAGGCTGGGAATTAGTAGTGTGGCCTAATCACCTCTGAGAGAAGGACAGAAATAATTACCTTAAAACTTGGAATGTTATCTGGGTTTTGGAGTGACGAGGTAAGTGATTCTGCTGGGATTATCTCATTTGAATTAACGCCAGCCATGGCATGCCCAGAAAATTCCTCTCAAAAGCAAAGGGAAACATGCCAAGAAAGGCTGGCACAAGTGTTTACACTTTCAGTGTAATGTATATGCTGTCTATATACACATGTATCCACACATATGTACACATGCACACATATTTCAGGCACTCCAGCCTTCTCCCTGTTGAGATTTATTTTGTCATAACTCCTTTTTTGCTTCCGAGAGAGAGAGTTAGTCCTGTCCTCACTCTGTTCCTCTTCTCTTCCAGTCTGGGAGTGACTACACTTGCCTTGGTCTTTTTCCTCTTGTGCTGAAATCCACACTGGTGATTTCAGAGTAGGCTGCATTCTGTCTTGCAAATCATTCTCCTCCCGACCAATTCCCCATCACCCTTCATTATCACATTCTCGCTTCTCTTTAAAGTTTTGTCTGGACAAATGTTCAAGTAGTGACTGGAATTGCCATGTACTGCTGGAGTAGTGACATCATAAAGAGAATTCAAGGGGCGCCCACACACCCTGCAGGTGGTAACTGCTACAAGGTATGGTGGGACCATGGGGGCAACTAAGTTATCCTGGCACACAATATGTCCCCTTCCCTTTCCCCTTCCCCCTCTTTCTTTCTTCTCTTTCTCTTTCTCTTTCTTTCTTTCTTTCTTTCTTTCTTTCTTTCTTTCTTTCTTTCTTTCTTTCTTTCTTTCTTTCTTTATCTCTCTCTCTCTTTCCTTCCTTCCTTCCTTCCTTCCTTCCTTCTCTCTCTCTCTCTCTCTCGACGGACTCTTGCTCTGTCACCCAGGTTGGAGTACAGTGGCGCAATCTCAGCTCCCTGCAGCCTCAACCTCCAGCGTTCAAGCGATTTTCGTGCCTCAGCCTTGCAAATAGCTGGGATTACAGGCATGTGTCATCACACTCAGCTTTTTTATTTATGTTTATTATTTTTATTTTTTTTTTATGACTGAGTCTTGCTGTGTCACCCAGGCTGGAGTGCAATGGCACAATCTCAGCTCACTGCAACCTCTGCCTCCCGGTTTCAAGCGATTCTTCTGCCTCAGTCTCCCAAGTAGCTGGGATTACAGGTGCCTGGCAGCACACCCAGCTAATTTTTGTATTTTTAATAGAGACGAGGTTTCACCATGTTGGCCACGATGGTCTTGAACTCCTGACCTCAAGTGATCCGCCAGCTTCAGCCTCTCGAAGTGCTGAGAGTACAGGCGTGAGCCACCACACCTGGCTATGTTTGTATTTTTTAGTAGAGACAGGGTTTCGCCATGTTGGCCAGGCTGGTCACAAGAAATATTTCCTGGCACAGGTGGTGTCTGGTTAGAATCATAAAGGATGAGTAATGGTTATTCCCAAGAAAGTGAAGGGGAGAAAAGAGAAAAGGAGGAAGGTTAAGGAAGAAGAATAGCAAATGCTCTGCAGACTTGGACAGCCACTTGGCCATGATGTCTGGATAGCCTTTCCCGGGAGTTAATTCCTGCCTCAGTCTACTACCCACCACAGTTCTGCAGGACAATGTCCTGAGAGATGAATGAAGCCCAGCCCTGTAACTGAGGAAGTGTCTTCTATTGAATCACGGACCTCAGTGAAGCCCCAACTCCTGTCTGTTTCTTCTTCTGGTCACAGAACCTTACTCAGTATGAAACACTGTCAGGTTTTTCCTCCGCATGCCGGGAAGGGTGCGCTCACCCTGGGTGGTGCCAGTTGCAGCTCCTCCGCAGGGTTCTCCTTACCTACATTTGATTTGAGGCATGATCTGCCAGTGTACTGTTGAATCAAAGAACTGCCTTCAGGACTGTCCTTATTTAGTGCAACTGTTGTTGACAAACCAAAACTGCACCCAGACTTTCACCCACAGTTTATTCAAGTCAGGTAATATACTAAGTGCTTTGTGTAAGCCGTAGTCTCTTTTCAGAAATGGTTGGCTCTCACAAAAGGAGAGTTCAGACGTCAGCCTGGCACTTGCATAAATATCTTCCACTGAGATTCAGCATTAGCAAACTCTCTGCCGGATACAATTTAAACACTCAATAAAGCATGGTGGGGGTATTTCTAATTTACACATAAATAACATTTTTTTTATTCTAATGTTCATAAATTAAAACTGTATCTTTCCTGAATTAAGTAATAAATAAGAATTTTAATAAAACATTTTCTACATAAAATCCTTAGAAAGTCTACTGCAAGGTTTGATGGCTGGGAGACTGAGCTGAGAGAGTTTACAGCTCATATGTCAGCATTAGGATTTGTTGGTAGTGCTTATCTATTCTACATAATAAGGTTTTGTGTATTGATGCAGGCACTGCCTTACACAGTAACATAACACGAGACCATGATATTCAGCACATTTTGAAGTAAGTGTGACACTAAGACCCTCTGAAATGTGTCCACTTTGCCCCCTACAACATTACAATGGGGACATTCTTTTTCTGAGACAGTCATTGAGAACAGCACTAACAGATTATGGCTTGATAACTATTTATCACTTTGGATTGCTGTGGAAACCAGGCATCCCTAATCACCAACAACTTTAAAAAGTCAAAATATTATCAGAGAAGACAGTTTTATAGAAATATTCAAAATCATTTCATTAGCTTTCTAAACC